TAAGCCTAATCAAAGGCAAAGTGTGTAATTTTGTCACCTAGCTTTAATATAGGGAACAAATGCCACAACTATATTAACAAATGCATTTGTGAAAGGCAAGTAGACAGTCAGTAGACCCAATACAGTCAGAAGGAATTCAAAACAGGAGACACAGGCACAAGATAATCTTAAGGCAGCACCCTGATGCCAGTGATAGTTTTTACCTACCTAAAAAGCAGTTTAACTTCTAAACAGCCCTGTAGTTCATCAGATAGAAAGCAGCCTGGACTATGTAATGAAAAAACCTGGAGTCCAAGGCATGTGAGAGTTTGTATATATTTTGCAGCAAATGTTACTACAGAGCCTACATAATTTATCCAGTTTTAGTAGAAAACAAACTTTTACTTTTTTTTATAGTTTCCCTAAATGCAACATATAAACAATTTCAGGTTTTCTACTTGCTTTCAGAAACTGGTGGGCAGTTCAGAATATCTATAGAAGGAACATATGACTGAAGCTTGACTAGGCACTTGGTCTATCTTGTTCATTTTTTTAAAAACTAGTTAAGCTCATATCACTGTGTAAACACTTTCTGGGAAGTTCTTCTTGAGCTATACTGGCTTATCCACTGGGCATCATATTCTGACTTTCAACCTATACATTTTTTATAGCATTTCCTATATGCTTGAAGAAACATAAGCTTTAACATCTATAGTTTTTCTAACTTGGTACTGTTTCTCACCTGATGAATTTATGGAAAAACCGACATACTCCCCTGCTAATTATTAAGTTGCTATGCTTCCTGTTCTTATGATCTTGTACCTGACTGTTGTTGGCTTTGCCAGTCACAAGTTCTTTGTCTGTTCCTGTAGCTCCCAGAGTGCTTCTGCTAGCAGAAACCACATGATTCTAACCAAATCACCACTTACTACCCTGCACTGGCACCAGTGCTCTGTGAAACTTCCCTAACTGCAGAGGAGGGAATCTCGGCCACTATTCCTCAGAACAGCAAGTTCCTGCAATATTGGATAATGGCTTCACATCACAAAAACATCCTGATTTTTTCTTATCATTATAGTGAGTGACATGTAATTATTCTTTATAGTCATGTATTGAATGCACCTGAAAGTCCTGTAGAACTGCAGAAGGAAGGTCACATCTCAAAGCTCAGTGAAATATTAATAACTTAAAACCATGCACAAATTGCTGACATAGTTCTCTGAAAATAAAAGATCATAAATTCAACTTACCATCACTATATAGGAAAGTACATGAACAAGAAGAGTAATGTGTGCTACTGTGCTCTGGATTTGTAGCTCAGTGTTGACAACACACCAGCTTTTTGCCTACTGCTGACAACTGCTTGCATAGCACCAGAGCCACTTCTTTTTCCCACTTTGCCCCACCAGGATGTGGGCGGGGGGCGTGCAGAAAGCTGGGAGAGGGCACAGGCAGAACAGCAGACCCAAAATGACCAAAGCAATATTCCATGCCATGAAAACATGATCAGCAATAAAAGATGGGGAAGGGAGGAGGAAGGGGGGGGATATTCAGGGCAGTGGTGTTTCCCTAGCACAGTAACAATTATGTGTGATGGAGCGCTGCTTTGCAGGATGTAGCTGGACACCTGCCTGCCCATGAGAAGCTCTGAATGAATTCCTTGTTTTGCTTTGCTTACTTGTGCTGCTTCACTTATTAAACTGTATTTATCTGAACCCAAGAATTTTCTTACTTTGCTCTTCCACTTCTCTCCCCAATCCCACTGTGGGGGGAGCAAGCCACCAGCTTGGCCAGGGTCAACTCACCTCAGTCACTAATGTGACAGTATACAGAGACAGCAGCCAGACGTTTGAAAAAAGAGATCATGGTTGCTACACTACGCTGCAGAAACAGTTTCAACATGCTGATTTAGCCAGACAATTGCTGTTTTAGGAGAAGGACAGTAATTAAAAGTTGAGATACAGGTGAATTAAGTAATAATTTGTCTTCTTGTTTTCATACATGTATTAGAGGAGAGGAACTCCCATTTGCTATTGAAATATCTAAGGATGTACAAGTGAGTGCCAAGACTCAAAAAGACAGCATGTATCTGTGTAAGTTCACAGGATATTTTTTAAAACTAAGGTAAATCAAGTACGTAAGTTAGACAAATGTTAACAGGCTTATTATGAAAAGATTTTATTTCAAGGACAATTGAAAAGTATGTTTTAACTTTTATTCTTGCAGCTCAAAATCCATGCCTGTATATATATGCATATATTTGTAAAAAAAACAATAATCAGAAGGAAAACTGAAAAGGAAAGGAATCCATTACATAACCCTTTTCTTCCTGTAAGGAAAAATTCTTTACAGATTTTTAAAGGCATGAAATATGAACAGGGATGAATCCTAAGTTTTCTATATTACTCTTTACTTCTAAACATTATTAGGCTTTTCCTGACAGTATTCTGTATTTTGTAACCTTGAAATAAATAATATCATTAACCATCCCCATTTTAACTTAAAAAATTCCTAAACATTTTTACTTTGAGGATCACAGGACTGCATGGATTAGATTCACACAGTGGTGTGGGGCCAGAAATGAGCAGAACACAACAATTCATTCCCTTTTTAACCAGTCCTAAAAGCCTTTTACTTTCCCCTAACCACCAACCAATTAATTTGCCTATCATTTGCTGGCTCTGGGACAATGCTTCCATAACCCGCTTTCACCTAAATCAGTCATTAACTAGGTTAGGGTAGCATTTCTCTTGTAAATGAGTCCCCTAAGCATTATCACTTTTTTTTTTCCACCAAAGAAAGAGCAGACTATACTTATTTTACTTAATACACAATGACAGTATTTCTCTTTAAATATGAAAAAAGGAAATATGTATCACTCCAATATCAGTGAATCAGTAAAAATATTTTTGCCTGCACAGAAATAACTGATCAGGGAAAGCTTTAGCATGTGTGAAAGAAAGGAATATTTAAAATATTATGGCACTCCACTTTTTGAACTGGTAGTTCTGACACAGTGCAAGTACTGCCCTTGGTTTTGTTTAACTCAGCGCAGGAGGCAAATAGTAGAAATAGAATGGCTGCATCATAAATGGGAGATTAAAATAATCACATGCTCATTCAGGATGAACCTTAAGTCCTGAGCAGTAGTAAGGCTAAAATTTATGCAATTCCAGGGAGGCTCATAAAGAATCACCTAAGGATAGGGCTCACTTGAGTTTCACTGCAAAACTTATTTGAGTAGTCACCAGATCAGCTATAATCGTCCTAGTCAGCTGGCAAACACAAGCAGACACACTTTAGCTATGCTAAAAATTAAGGCATGTAAAGACAAGCTGTGTTGGAGATGCTGGTCGCTATGGCAGATAATGGATAAGCAATTCTACTTAATGTTGACAATGGGTTGGTCTGTAGAGTGGTTGAAATAACAAATCCATAAACTAATCATTAATGGCTTTCATAATGTCAGTTCTAGATGAGAATTTCCATATCAGGCAGTAGAAGGGCAATGAATGGAGACATTTGCAAATCTGGAAGGATTACAACATTTAGGGTACTTATTAAATAAATAAAACAATGCAACAAATATGATATGACAAAGGTGTGAAATACAGAGGACAGAGAAGGCTACATGACTTTTTTATAAAGAGATCAAAAGAAAAATAAAATGTGTTTCAAGAGAACAGAGAAGATGAAATGTCCACAGAGAATGTTCCCTCTGCATATCACACTAGTCCTCTGCTTCGTTTGGCCCATATTAATGACATCAACATGAAGGGAAGTTCAAGAACTAGTTTGAGTCTCAGACTTTCTATGAAAATCTCTTTTAAAAGGGCAAACTACTTCATTTTTAATGAAGGACAAGAGATAGCAATCAGCAGGAGAACAATCAAAGAAAAAATTAGTACTGAATTGTCTCTGCCATTTAACATAAAAATGACAGTACTGGGTACAGACCAAAAGGTCTGTGAAGTCTCACATTGTCTGGCAGTGGACGGAATTCTCCTCTCGAGGACATTGAGAGAAGAATTGAATAAGAAATTTTTGCCAGCATGATTTTTTGTGCAATTGCATTAAAATTTTGGAAAAGAACAATTTGGGTGGAGAAAGAAATAATCTCATCAAAAATAAGAAAGAAGATTAGAAACAGACTGCACAAATGTTTTATATATGACATGAAGTAAGAACTAAATGTTTGAGACTAACTGCTAGTGATAAATTGAGAAAACGGCATTAAAAACCCCAAAACATTTTTGATATGCAAATTCACACACTTTTGAAATTGTCACTCAAGTTTCTAGATAGGGAAACAGTTCGGTTTAAAAGATGAGTGATAGGTCCATGTTAGGTATCATCAGGAGGATTCAGAACTAAGAAGGGAATGTTAAATGTCTTAAGTTTGCAATATGCATGTTTTCCAGTTTCCGCAAGAGACAAATATTTTCGAAAAATTGCTATTTTCCCCCCACCTATAATGTTCTAAATTTAACAAATTATATTTTCTAAATTTAACAAACTGCTGTTTCTGAATTTAACAAGTATCAATTCTGCAGTAAATGTACCTGCCTAAAATTTAAGCAGTTAAATTTTACAAGTAAAAAGTGACAAAATACTAAGATAAGTTAAATTAATTAAGCACTATTAAGGAAACTACAGCTACACTTGTCATGCCCCCAGCTGAATTTAGGATACCTTGCAACTTTGATAAACATTCTGTTCTGAAATCTCCTTGAGCAGCATAGGTTTGCAAAATTTACTAATTTCTTTTTAAAGCATTATTTAAGTGCAATACCAATATTCATATATTTCTGCCTCAGACAGAAAGAACATATTGGGTTCCTTAAAAAAGGAATTGAAAACCATCCTAGCAACGATGAAAGTAAGTAGGTCCATTATAAAGTTGTGTATTTAAAAAGAAATGCATAATTTAATTTGTACATTTTACCAATAAAATCTTTTTGTATTGGCTATTATAAAGTCAAAAAGACAAGAGAAAAGTGTGACGATTTGCCACAATCCCATTACCTGTGTGTCAGCAGCACCCTGAAGGTCATCTGATTCAGTCCCAAATAACTTGGCAGCAAGTTTGACCAATCCCAGTTCCATTCAGTAATGGCTGACTGTTGATACATGGCAAGAAGCTAATGTTAGTTATTAATCAGTGTTAATATGATTGGTACATTAAAGCTCCAGCTGTGACATACTAACCAAGAAAGAGGGGGGTCCAGAACAAGGACTTAGAAAGATGATATCAATCATGTCAACTGAAGAAGGTTTTTATTCCAATAAGACAGCAATTAATATATAAATAATTTAGGGATGTAGCCATAATTTATAAAAAGATAAATCAATTTTTTGAACCATTATTCTTCCAACCATTAATGGCATTCTGCCCAACTACTTTGTCTGAGAGCTTGACTCTTTGTCCAAAAAGCGAAATAATTGGCAACTTCTTATGTAACAGCAATTTGCATTTCCTGCTGTCAACAAAACGTTTGTATTGAAAAACTTGCTATAGCTGGAATTCAAGATGTAACCTGCATCATACTATGAATGAAGGTTTAGTTGTCTGTTTTTGTAAGGCACTTCAGTCACCACATCATAAACAGCAGTAAGTCTAGGCAATATGAACAAATATAACTCCATATTGCTTATTTAATAAATAAAAGCAATCTACAATAATTGCAGGCAGACATAAGACCCACACATAACAGTCTTATGTTTATAGAACAGTAAATCCTGTTGCAATACTTTTCATTGTCAGTAACGGTCAAATAGTGAGTACAATTCAATATTCTTGGGAGGAAACAATTAGAAAATTATTGTTGTAACATTAAAAGCAAGTCAAAACAGTGGAAATAAACCTATATAAAAGGAGTAAATTATATCTTGCAGTGCATCTTTTTTCTCTAACAGACAGCACCTGGTTCTTCTGGGAGAGCAGATTCACAGCAATCCTCTTCCTTCCATCTTTATTTTATTACTTTCCTTTTTCTTACTTAATTTACTCCCTAACACTCATCTTTGGCATGCATTTTAAAGTAAAGTAGAAAAAACAAGGTGAAATACAGAATACAAAAGGGAAATGAGGGTAGCTAAAGAAAGAACAAGATAGTGTGAAAGTGGAAAGTAAATGAAGAAGAGAAGGTAAATATCTGATATACAAGAAGTCATGAGGAAAAAAATCCTAAGAGAATAGTGTGAGAAGAACACAGGGGAGAAAACAGGACACTGTTCTATACTCTACACTGAAAAATAGATAAGTAAACATGGAGAAAGTACTTGTAAAATCAACAGGCATAAAAAGAAGAAGCTGAACAGACAGTAGCAACAGTCATGGAAGTAAAGAGGGAAATTTCTAAGTAAACCAGATAAAAATTTAGTCCATCTTACTGATCAGGTTTATGAATGAAAAAAAAAGATGTTTGAAAAAAGTAACTTCAAGATAGGGGAAAAATTTTCCTGTAGTATTCGTTGATACTGTTGAGTAGTTGCATAGCCTCGACCTCAGCTTATTAGACAACAGAGAAGCAACAGTACTGACAGAGTTTGAGGTGTCAGGACAAATAGATAAAATCAAGAGCAACAAGTTACTAGGACCAGATGGTGACTATTCAAGATTTTTACAGGAATCTAAGAATGAAGTGGCTAAATTGCTAACAGAAATGACACACTTCCTAGAATCAGCTACTGAGCTAGAGGGTTGGAAGGTAAGAAATTTAAAGTTGATCTCAAAATAGCAGTTAGTGGCCTGTGTTTCAGGAGCAGTAAAAATTATACAGACTATGATTAAGCATCTTGCTAAATTTGACATGATAGGGACAAATTAGCAAACTTTAGAAGAAAACTGTTAGGGAAACTTTCCTGTATGACCAATCAGGAGCACTGTGGCAGTCACACTTCCACCACTAGAGACTTTAATTGCTGGGACCAAGGGGCCTTCACAGTGGGCAGCTCCAGTGAGTCAATGGGTGCCCCACTTGACCCCCTGGACACCCCACTCTCATGCAATCAGAAAAGGTTTCCCATAGCAGAGTCTCAGATGTCTGGTTCCTTTAAGTAATTTTATCACAGTGAAACAACAGAATAACAGTTCCAGCTGGGTGCCTCTGAGGAGGGACCTCACATAAAGGACTACCTGGGGTTTTGTACTCTCATAGTCCATTGTCTTCCAGCTGACTCATTGGCTTCCGCTGTGTTTATGAGTGTCCCTGTGTCTGTTCACCTGGCTGGTGCCACAGGGTCCCATGCCCTTTGTTGTACAAAGATATCTCGCCATGCTCCCACCATTTCTCCCACCCAGAGCTCAGTCTCACACTGCAGCTCTATACCAAGCTACCCACCCTAATTGTGTTCTTCAACAAAAAAGTCAACCACCCTGATGTACAGTAATTTTTACATATATCAACAAACAATACATAGAATGTTTACTATAAAATATCTTTTGGAAAGCTTTTGAATAAATTTATTTTAAGAAATCACCTAATGAGGAAGCTAAGAGGATATCTGTGCTGCACAGACATAATATATTACATAACTTATACAGTTATGTAATATATTTTTATATCTTAGATTTCATATATTATAATATGCTGTATAGCATAGTGTGACATTCTCAGTTTAGAGCTGAAGCACTAAGCAGTATTGCCATGCCTATTTCAATTGGCTCTTCTGAGAGAAAAGTTTTAAAAACCAATACATAATTAATTAATTGTCAAAATACGTTGCAAAACCAGTAGCTTGTTCTGACTTAGAATTTATAAAAGGATAAAATGTAGACAGAAGTATTAAAAACACATCTAGTCACAAGAGACTTTTAGAAAATCAAAAAACAATCATGGATTATAAGTTCCTAAGCTTCATGGCAGTTGCCAAACAGTAACAAATGAATTTGAGAAGAATAATTGCTCCTTGCCAGTGCTCTTGCATCTTCTATAGGCACTGCTAATAGGCTTCACAGAAAACTAGACACTGAGCTATATTGAGCACTTTTTTATAAATGGACAGTCCCACACCACTAAATAAATTTTATCATGAAGGGAACTAAACTATCATACAATATTATTAACCTCGGGAAACAGAATCATAGAATAGAATCATAAAACGGTTTGGGTTAGAAGGGACCTTAAAGACCATCCAGCTCCAACTCTCTGCCATGGGCAGGGATGCCTTTCACTAGGCCAGGATGCACAGAGCTTCATACAGGATGAGGGAGGGGATTCCGCCCCTCTACTCTGCTCTGGTGAGACCCGTGTAAAGTACTGCATTCAGCTCTGGTGTCCCCAGCACAGGAAAGTGGTCAACCTGTTGGACTGAGTGCAGAGGAGGGCCACCAAAATCATTCAAGGCATGGAGCACCTCTCCTATGAGGAAAGGTTAAGAGAAGTGGGATGGTGCAGCCTGGTAAAGATAAGGCTTCTCCTCAAGAGAGACATGGAGCTCCTGGAGCAAGTGCAGCAGATGGCAAGAATATGATTATGGGACTTCAGCATCTCTCTTATGAGGAAAGGCCTGTCTTATGAGGGACTTGGGCCTGTTCAGAACAGCCTCGAGCAGAGACAACTGAAAGGGAACTTCATTAATGTATATCAGTATCTAAAGGTGGAGGTGCCAAGATGGTGGAGCAAGGCACTTCTCAGTGGTACCAATCAATAAGACAAGGGGCAATGGACAAAAACTGATGAACAGGAAATTCCACCCAAATATGAGAAAGAACTTTTTTTACTGTTTGAGTGACTGTGCACTGGAACAGTTTCCCCAGAGAGGTTGTGGATTCTCCCTTACTGGAGATATTCAAGAATCCTCTGGATGCAATCCTTTGCCATGTGTTCTAGGATGACCCTGCTTGAGCAGGGAGGTTGGACCAGATGACCCACCGTGGTCCCTTCCAACCTGACCTATTCTGTGATTCAGCGATTTTTTTGCATATCAAAGGGCTACAAGAAAATATGTGTAACACATTTGTCATGCGGTGCCCCGGCAGAGATTTAGGCAACCGGATCTTTTTTCTTTAACTATTACATTATCAGGAAACTAAATTCTCTACGTAAATTTTAATCCTTTACATATTACAAACATGACTTAAGAAAAAACAGAAATGGATGCTTTCAGTTTTTAGTGTGCTTTACCCCTGATTAGTTTCACTGTTCTGTAAAATCTCTGTATTTCCAACACATCCGTTACTTAACTGTTCAACATTTCTGTAAAAAAGACCTGATGCCAAGAAATCTGGAAAAGAACTACTCACAGACTTGTATCTCTGAGTAGCAGGTGTTTGTTTATTCAGCGCTGGGCACAAGGGACATCGCTCCACCAAACTTATGTAACCAGGGGTAAAAACTTCATAGTTTATGTACACTAAATGCTCATACATATTCATTATTTCTAGGAATGGGTGTATATTATTATAATTAGTTCTTGGAAATCATTATCATATTCTTCTCCTTTGTCCTCTCCCACATGGTGCTGGTCCAACAGCTTCCGGTGGTAGTCTGGGGGTCTTCAGGAGGAAGACTGGTAGTCTTCATTGGGTTGAACTTTTTACCTTTGAGTTTAATGCATGCTCTATAGTCCTGTTTTCCTGTTGCTAGTCCTCAGAACAGGTAGCTTGCAGTTTATCTCCTTATCTTCTTGTCCATCTGGTTTGTCGTCTTTTTATCTTCTGGTTCTCCTTGAATTTTAACATTTACGTCCATTCACAGCTTAAGCAATCCTACAAGTACACTCCCTTAGGTTTGCTAACATAAGCTCTTCTAAAGAACATCCTGATAAAATGCTTTGCCAGTTTACTTTTTTGTATCAGACCCATTAGGAAGATTCTAAACGTGCACTTGGGGTTTTGCCATGATTTTTCCATGGGCTAAGACTAACCTTTTGTACCACTGCACAGATGTAATAAATGCCATTGCTACTAATGGGCTTTCCTTCACTGTACTGAACACAGAAAGTATAAGCAAATGCAAATTGCTCTTACATGCAGTAATTCTAATAAACGGAAAGGACAATAATGGCTTTTTGAACATCATGCTATGGTAGAGGGCAGCCTTGTTAGATTCCCAACTAATAATATTCCTTTGAGCTTCATCAAATGTGAATGGATGTAATTAATTCTGTTTTCATAAATTCAGTCTCTATCATTAGCATGATCATAATAAGACAAACAGGAACAAATTACACTATAGCCTAGGGTTCAGATTTTCACTGACCTGATTGAGTACTTTTGTACAAGACTGTCTGTACACCTGGAAAGGGTTGAAGACGGGCTGCTCTTCTCTGTCCTTGAGTGTCAAAGCCAGGAATTGACCAGAAGTAATACTGTCTTCAGAAGAATTCTCCCAGGACAGCTGATCTTTCAAATATTCCTTTTGGAACAAAAAGCAACCACAGAAGAGTATAGGCCACCAAGATTTCTACATTAAACTTGCCTACATTTCATGCATAACTTTAACGTGTGCTTGATAGACGTTCTTATTATACAGTGGGGAATAAGCAATCTCTTACAAAATAGAAACCTTTTAAGAGTGCCACTAGTACAACGAACAAGAAATAACCTCCATGAACATGCATCCAACTGACATAAATCAGGATAATCTATGCTAGTGAATTGAAATTGTCATCAAATTATGTGTGTAAGTTCTCATTTAATATACATACATATGTTAGGTACCTGTGGAAGTGAACAACAAATGTTTTTTATGACTTTCTATTAAAGTTATTTTTTGGACAACATTTAATAGTTACGATATGACTATAAATTAATTGTTTGATGAACATATTATAATCAGTTATTTAAACATAGGAAATAAATATTCTCCCACTCTTCAAAGCTGTTTTTAACTGTTTAAGTATTCAAAGACTAGAATTAATTTATGATCTACATGACAAACTATACTGTAACAGAAGCATGATTATTTTGGACACAATCTTTTCTGTTTTCACTTCTTAAACAACTATGCAAATAAATCATCGTTGCATGCCAATAAAGTGTTTTGATTAAATAGAACCCTTTTATGAAGAGCTAGATAATGAAATATTTACACATCTATTTGCTGGAAGGACTACTGTGATTAAACAGTTTATTATTAAAATGAACTCCCTAATTGTAGGATTGGCATAACATAGGGTAAGTATTCAAGGTGAGTCTTTGTTAAGAGTGGATGCAAATGCTGCTCTTATTTGCAGTACTACTGAGATGCTAAAAAGGGGGAAGAAAGTGTAAACTACCTGCCAAGGCACCCTGGGCACCTCAGTGTGTCTTTCTAAAAGAAGAATTTCATCATCTGTTTAAGCTGAACCAACCCTGACCCCGACTGCCCTGAGAGGCACAAGTTCCCTTCCAATCCACATAGACTGTAGCTGTTTCTCCCTTGTGTTGGCACTAGCATATGTTGTGAAATCAGCCAGAAAAAAGAAAGACTTCATCCAGATAAACAAGCCACATGATTTCTAGTACTAGTACAAAGAGAAGCCTAGGTCAAAAGAGGTGATTCTCCCCCTCTACTCTGCTCTCATGAGACCCCACCTAGAATACTGCATGCAGTTCCAGTGCCTTCAAAATAAGAAGGCCATGGAACTGTTGGAGCAAGTCAAGTCTAGAGTCACCAAGTAGATAAAAGGACTGAAGCATCTCCCTTGTGAAGACAGGCTGAGGAATCTGGGACTGTTCAGCCTGGAGAAGAGAAGACTGTGTGATGACCTCATTATAATTTTTCAGTATCTGAAGGGATTACAAGAGAGTCAGAGAGGGACTCTTTGTTAGGAACTGCAATGATAGGACAAGGGGTAATGGGTTCAAACTGAAGGAGGGGAAGTTTAGGTTAGATAATAGAAAAAATACTGTAAGGGTGCTGAAACACTGGAACAGGCTGTCCAGGGAAGAGGTGGCTGCCCCAGCTCTGGCAGTGTTCAAAGCCTGGTTGCATGACGCCTTGAGCAATGTGGTCTAGTGGAGAGGTCTCCCTGCCCACGGCAGGGAAGGTTGGGACTAGATGATCTGTAAGGTCCATTCTAACCCCTAAAATTCTATGATTCTATGATTCTAGGAGTAGAAAAAGTAAAAGAGCATGAGAAAGAGAAGGTCTTGTCTCTGTTACTTACAGCCAAATGTCAGGACTGACCAAGAGAATCACAAATTTTTCTTGGTGTATTAAAGAAGAATAAAATAGAGCTTTTTTTTTAAGTCTGAAACAACATCACAAAACAGCTGTGAAAACATACCCTAAATCTCTTACCTACATTTTGTCAACTTTCCAAAATATCTGTGTTTGGGTTTTTTCCCCATTCATTCATGATTTCATGCCTTAACAAAGACTTTAGAGCTGTGGTGAAGGAGAATTTTTAAAAAGCAATTTCTATAAATTTACTAAATTTTCATGAATATACTGTCTTCCATGCACACATTTTCACAACATTTGTAGACAGCAATAAGGCAACACAGCCCTCTGGATGTCACAGAGCCAGCAGAAGCAGAGTGTGTTGGGTTGTCAGTAGAGATACTGCAAATAGCTGTCCATGCTTGTTAGGGTTTGACCGGTTCAAGTAGTATACAGCTCACCTCCCAGTACAGGTGTTTTTCAGTCTTTGGGATATTTTGAATTTATGTTTCATGAAGAGACTTATTCAACCAGAGTGAATATATTAGTTTAAGATATCTTTAAATATAGTACATATTGTACTATACTGTATTCATATCTGAAAAGGTCATGTTTCAAAAATGTGAAAATTGATAGAAATGAAATCACATCTGTAAGCATGTGAACTATATCCTCAGTACACTGACTGGGCATAAAACCAAGTAGATGGAATATTAATTGATGCTGACACCTCAGAAAAGTTGCTTTCTCTTTGGCCACCATTAGTAAAACATGCTTTTAAACATTATGATTATTTTTTATAAATACACGAAGGATTGTAGGCTATTTTGAGTACTAAAGCCCCTGTTATAAATCACAGCTGTACTTGAAAATACACTTTCCAAGAATCTGTATCCCTTTCCACCTGCTTTTCTAAGGAATATAATTGAGAACAATCTTCTGTTTCATCACGTTCTTCTCTATTTGTATGTAATTATTAAGCAGTGTAACATAAAGTTCTTCAAACTAATTTTGAAAACACAGTCCCCTGATAGTCCAAGCAGTCTCTAAACAAAAGGAAGAACCTTTGAACAGACAATTAAGTCTATTTCTTGATAGTCAGGCACATTAAACATAATTTAAGCTATGAAAAAAAAATTAAAAATTGAAAAATGTATCAAAATGTTATGCAATAGTTTCAAAGGTGTTTCAAAGTAATATGGTGAAGTCTTTCTGGGAATCAAGCTGGTCAGGATTTCTTTTTTTCTTTTTTTTTTTTTAAAACAGTACAGGGTTTTTTCCACTGAGAAATGTTCTATACTTAAAAAATTTCTTACTAGCTGCAGAAATTCAAGGAGAGACACTAGGGATGTAGAAAGTAAGGCTAAAGTCCCTCTTCCACCTAATTCTCTCAGCCTCTTATCTCCTATTGGAGCTGCTCCACTTTGTATAAATAACTGAATACTCACAGGAGTCAGATCTTGGATCAGGGGCTCCAAAACCCAATATGTACATTCTAATCCTTCAACTAGAATATGATTCTATTTTTGATCCTAAAAGTTACAGAATGCAGTTTTACAGCAATTTCTACAAGGCGAAACAACTCCAACAGGGTAAAAGAAAGGAGTGCCATGTTTGTAGCTAATGATTTAGCAGTTTGGAGGGCTAGTTCAGATGTGGGAGATGCAGATTCAATTTCGTGGTCCAAAAGAGGAAGGAAAAGGATTTGAGCCTGCATATCCCGTCCCCTAGGTGACTGCTCTAACTACTGGACTATATGCTATTTTCAGAGGTCTTGCTCATCATCCTTACCACACTCCATTATACTTAAAAGTAAGTAAGCTGAACAGAGTTGTCTAGATTAATTAAGATTTTCATGTGAATGCATTACTTCCTCAGTACTGCCACAGGGTTTGCTTGTTCGTTTGCTTCTTTAATCAGGAGAATAAATTTATAACGTTTAATTTTACTTTTAAACAGTCACTTTTTCAACAGGCTGGCTTGGTTTTTTTAGGATTTTTATTTTTTTAACTGGGTTCAAACTCCTGAAATGTATCTATGGTCTACAATATGAAACTGAAGGAAGTTTATGAGCCATACTACTGCTTGAGCACTGAAGTAAAATCTACCATGTATCCGATAAAGTAATCTTTTCTCTAGAAATGCAGAAAAGCCTAAACTGAATGGATTCTATAACAATACAATACAGGATTTCATATTGACTTTAAGAACCATTATCACCCCCTTAACTAACCGTTAGCTGCCAGCAGACGCTGCCCCAGGCCAATACACACCTAATTGCTCGGTGAAAAGGCCGTTTCCCTACCTCATTGAGCCGGATGATGTGATAAATTTGCTTCAGGTATTCGCTGCCACCTGGTTTGTGGCAGATATCCAGGACCATCATGTGTATTTTCTGCTCAGTGAATCCAAGTGCAATACCTCCTTCCTCTAACGTTGCACCTTCTACTGTGACTGCAGCACTAGAATATAGAAGAGATACAAACATTCTTATGTTAAATTTCTAAAAATCAAAATATTATTATCCGCTAAATCTGCATTTTAACAAAAGCTTAGAAGTATTTGGCTTGCACAAATGTTGCTGTACGTATATATCATAAGCCTTTATGCAATACATAATACCTGCAAATAACATTATTATACAAATTTTAATCACTTTCATCTCAAAGATAAACACATAAAATGTTCTTTACTCTAAGGATACACAAGCAGCAAATATTTTTTTATTTTCTTTTCCACTAGAGAAATAATTTCGCAAATACAAATAGCCTTTGCATTTGATCTTCTGTGCATCTATCTTTGCCTGTTGCTGCACATATTAAAGCCTACTTTACATATCAGAAAGGTAGCCATTACTCTAAGTACAGGTTAGAAGTGTTAAATTGAAGCATTTTTCTTCCCACTGGTATGTTGTTAACCGTTTAAAAGGTACCTATTTGGGACATGTTGCACTGTTTCCCTTTTCTTCCATCTGTGAGAAACTACTGAAAAAAAATAATCAGAGGGCAACAGACCCAAAGGCCTTCAAAATTATGCATTAAAATCTCTAGTGATTGTCAGACTACTGGGTATAAAAACTTAAGTTACCAGCGTAGTATTGTTATTGACAAAGTCTAATAAAAAAACCCTACTAAAACTACTTTTCCCCCTCAAATATTAAAGCTTCAACACAGGTATTTTTTTGTACCTTGACATGTGTGAAGGAATCAAAAGACCAAAAAGAACATATTGTCCTTTCTACAGGCAATATTGGATTAATTTAAAATATACCAAAGAAGCATTTGAATTTAAAAAAAATCAAAATCAATATTACTACTCTATTGTTTTAGAAGGAAAACAAAAAAAATATCCAAAACACTGTGGTTGTAGTTTACTGTTGAAAGTATGCCATATGCCATGAAAGTGTGCCATGCCAAAGTCAGTTCTGCTGAAAGTTGCTGCTTGACCTGCAGGCTCTCTGAAATGCTGCACAGCTGCTGGACATTAAACTGCATGCTTCCACATGCAGTTTCAGAACATCCTACAGTGCAAATAGCTTCTGTAATTCTGTTCTTTGCTGAATGGAGGTGATACCCTATTTATATGGTGTATTTTACAGAAAAGCTTCAAAGAAATTGATCTTTAAAATTAAAGCAAACTTAGGGTTGATCTTCGATGCCACGTACAGATACAATCTGAACTTGTCAAAATTCTTAGTGACTGACATTGAAAAAGTTGAGGACCTCTGACAAAGGAATCTATCAGTGCCAACAGCCAAATTGTATCCTTTCCAGCCGTCACTGTGCAGGTGAAGCAGATGATTGGATTCAGTCAGCACTGTGATTAATGAGTTCCTCTCTGGATTTGGGACTGCCTATCAATCATGTCATTAGGAACAATGTACCCTGAAAGAGGCAGACCTCAGCCAAGGAATAACTGCATTCATCTTAATCTGTATATGCACCCAGCCAACAAGGTCAGGGTCACCATGATGAAAAACAATAATCTCCAATTCAACAAATTACTTTGCAAAGACAAGACATTTCTTTTCTTCTCAAGACATGTGTTCTTCAGAATCTAACGTGACTGTTTACAGCTCTGGTGCTACCATAAAGTGAAGGTTACTTTAATGAATAGTAATGCTTTCAGGCAGTACACAAGACAGGCAATGTGTGTAACTGCCACTTTCTGAACCTTTCAATGAAGACTATTATTTTTTAAATTTTCTTAAAAATTAAGTAAAATTTTTATGACATAGTGGAAGAATCTACATCATATTTAGACTTTTTATGTAAGTAGCAGTCCTTATAACAATAATGTAACACAAAATCAACCAAGAATTTTGCTTATAAAAACCCAGTGCACTTTAAAGATGCTTCTGCAACTGTGTAGGTGAATCCCAAATAAAGGTTTGAAATCTAGAGGTTTTGTTTTCTTCCACACACTGTATCTATTAGAAGTCTAAAAACTTTTATGAATATGAATGTGTGTATATATATATATATATGCATATATATATGTGCATAGAGCTACCCCAAAAAATTCTTTAACTATGAAAAAGGTTACATAATTTTACACCAACTTAGATTTTTCAATATATAAATATTTGTTTCAAACAAATCACATGAACATCATAGGTTTCCTCTTGAAAGCTGGCTTTTAGCTTAGTGATTACATCACCACTACTTAGTTAAACTGAATATTTGAATTTCAGCTTCAATATATTAGTTTTATAATTTTTCATTTAATAACATTTATCTCTATATTGCATATCGCAGCCTTTTCTTTTTCCCAGACATTGTCTCATAATAGTTGAATAAAAAATGGAAAAATTACATTCATCTTAAACATCAATTGCAGAAATGCAATCAAAGTCAGGGGACTAAGTTTCACAATTCTATCAAATAATAAATTGGAGAGCAGGTAAAGCATTCTTTATTATTTTAGGCTTAAAATTAGCAGCCCTAGTCACAAGCTATTTCTCTCTTTGGCTGACACTACACATACAGAAAACTTTCTCCCATGTTCATTTTCCACAGTCTGATATACCTAATGCATAATACAGCATTTCTGTGGCATGCTAGAAGAGAAAACAGAGTAGTATATTAACTTTAAATTCTCAGCTTCAGAAGAAATACGAATATAAAAGTTTTAGTTTTAAGATTATCCACAATGTTGTCTTACCCCACCTTTGCAATTTTTAAGATGTACCTATTCTCTCAGTGACATTAGAAATTGCATTACGGAACCATTCTGTTAAGTATCAATTTACACATTATCATTATGAGTTTTTATTCTACCACTCTTTTAGCCACTGGCATCTGGCTTCAATCTTTTAATCACTGGATTAAAACTTGTAAATTAGAATGTAATGGAAATGTAAAGATTATAAAGGTCAATGTCAATGAGCATTTATGTGACACTATGACTGCTTAGTGCTACTTATGTTAACAGACTACTCATAGAAATAGGAGCTCATGCAGTGGGGTAGCTCATGCAGTGCCCTTAAGGCACTGCACGAAAGCCTGTTCTCTGATATCAGTGATTCCAACCTAAAGACATTATCTTCTTTGTTTATACAGACAATAGCAATGACAGCAACCTTCAAGAATATTCATTGAAAAAATAAGCAATCTTACTTTCAGTAGTTACAATTTAATTCAGTAATTCATGTAACTCTAGTAAATCTAATATTGGAAGGTAGATGAATGGTATTTTTACAGAATGATGCATGACTACAGCATTAAAACAGACTGGACTAGGAACACATTTACATGTACACAACCCCTTGAGAAATCATTGTAAGGATTCAAGACGCTTGGATTTTAATGTCAAATGTTGGTATTTCCCCAGAAAGGCACAGCGGGGTAGTCTCCTTGCCCTGTTTTGATATATCTTACTTGCCCTCAGGGTTTGATACATTTCAGAATGAAGTATGCTTACTTTTTATTCACAGATTAACACTGAAAGATTTTCATAGTCCCTCTTAATTTAATCATCCTAGAAAAATTAAATTATAAGTATATTTAGTACCTATTCATATTCTGAAAGATACAAAATGAACTTGTCAACATTTTTGGATCAGCATGAAAATATGAAATCTTGTAGTGCTATGAAGACACTGTTTCAATGAAACAGCAATGGTTTACTCTTTCAGCAATAAAATTAAGTCGCAAACACAAAAAGCCATGAACACATAAAGCCATCAATATTAAGACTTAATCTGCGTCATATAAGATCACTGCTTGTCCTTTTTCTTAAAATTGAACAGTAGCCATAAACATGACAATAATCCAGTAATATAAAGAGAAAAAACAGCATTTGAAAAATACTATCTTCTTACCAGTCTATGCTCAATTTTCTTGCCTTCAGTAACTGGCTTTCAATCCAGTTTGGTCTCTGCTGTTCGATGCTCTGTATAACCTTCTGGGTCACTTGCTTAGGACCACTTTTCTGTTTTCCCGTAATACTTTCTAAGCACACACGAACTAAACTCAGTTTTTCTTTGCTCCATCTGTCAAGTGTTGCACCTGTTAAATGTTCTGCAGTATTTCCATCCTCAAATATCCGACATATAATTACAATCAAGTTCCAGACAAGCAGACCAGCTTTCTTCAATTCAGCAAAGTTTCTTGACATTTTTCTCTCAGCCAGAAAAAAGAAGTACTTAATTGAGGGAGGCAAACATGCAATCACTGTAGGTAACTTGCTGATTACAATAGATACTGCCTGAGCTGCAAGCCTTGTGAAGCCTTAAAAATAGAAAGAAAAGAAGATATGATTAACATTAACATTCTAGTTCTATCACAGCATGCTTCTGAATGTTGTATGCTAATTTCTAACTTTCTTTAGTACTGAAAATGGGTAAAAAGCTTAAGTACTCAACCTGTAGATTGATTTCTATTATGGTTTCTGCACATAAATCTCACATAATCTAAGCAATTACATGAATTAAAAACAGATAACCTAGAAAATTTAGAATTCAGACTGTGACTCTCAACAATTAGCCTTGCTGTGCACAGTTATTACAGGATAAATGAGAAAGACAACATCCAGGTATTATGAATAGTAAAAAGTTGTCCTCAAAATTGTATATTTTTTCAGCTTCACACCTGGAGCATTGCAGAAACTGTATCAGGATATTACAGATATTCATAATCTTTAGTTTTCTATCTATTTCTTTCTAAGTTCAAACCAATACAACTTCAGTTTATCAACTTTCATGTAAGTATCTACACTAGACAGAACTGTATTTTAAAGATACCAAATATCAAATGTAGCTATAGGAGTAACTACAGAACATATGTGGCTCAAAATCCAAGACATCTAAAACAAAAAAATATACTAAAAGGTGATCTTGGATTAAAGTCAAGATTAAAAAGCCCATCAAAACAAACTGCAAACAATCTGACTCATTGCACCTACATTCTAAATATTTTGGGCTTTTTATTAAAAAAGGTGGGGTTTTAATTAAAAATATTATCACAAAATTTAATTTGTCATTAAGCCTAAGTCATAACTCTCAGCTTGCGTATCAGTTCATGCTTAGCAACAACCTAAAACAGCCATACAAGTTCTAGACTAAAGTGAGCGCACAGTGAAGAGAAGATATATGGAAAGAAAGAATGCATTGATGGCCTGCTTTGGTCACGATCTACATACTCAAAACTTCATACCAGAATATACTACAGTCATACTACAGTACTGAAAATAATCAGATAATATTCTGCTGAAAATAAATTTATGGTGAATTGATTCTGGAAGCTAGCCTTCTGAAATGACAGATGCTTTAGGCACTATAGGCTATAAAAACATATGCCAAAAATCAGCTTTACATCTAATCACCTTCAAAACACCTGTTATTATGAATATAATTTCATTCTTAACTAACTATTTCAACAACCAAGCAGTAGTATATTTCATAACATGTTCAGTGCTTTTTAATTCAAACATGAATTGCTGTGTTGTATAGCTGGGATGAGTAAGTTGTTGCCATTACAGTCAACACTGTCTACCTAAAACTAAAAGATGATAATGAAAGGGAGAACTGGTTACAACCACTGAGGCAAAAGCATAGACATTATTCTTTACCTTGCCTTGAATCCCACCTCACCACCCACCACCAGATGCTAGAAACATCTTTAGTATTATTACCAGTACTACAATACTGATTATTATAAAATCTTGTTTGTGTGTGTATGAGTGTAAGTTACAAGAAAGAATAACTGAATTTTAATGCAAAGTACTTAAAACCTCCCAACCATCATTGTTCATTGTCAAACTTCAACACTCACAAAATCTAACTGTTCAGTTTTAGCACTAAAGGCGAAACAAGTTCTTATGGCAAACTTATAAACGAGTATAAATTTCACCTACATTTCCCAGATTCTTTTCTCTTCATTTCCCGAGGAGTGTAATTCCATTCCTTTGGAACCGTTTTCAGTAAGCTTTCAGGGACTATTTGCTTGTGCTGGTATGTTCCATAGTTTTCTGTTGCCTCCCAAGAATGCATCAAAGAAATTATCTGCTTCACTATACCCTTGACTGAATTAATCAAAGTCAACTTCAAGCATCTGATAACTTCTGGATCTGACTCACCACAACTGGAGACTTCAGAAGGAAGAATTATTAAATATTCAGTAAGTGTAGTCATTTGTGTAAATTTGTTACAGAAGGAAAAGTTTCAGAATTCTTATGGAAAGAAAAGTAACAACATTATGATTCATAATAATTTAGAGCTATTGGTCTGTTGCAAATTGAAGGAAGAGTATAAAGTAAAACAATATAGCATCTTGCACCATCTTAATACAGTACTGACAAAAAAATTTCTATTTATTTCATTAATCCTCATTTCTCCATCAAGATATACATAAAAATTCAATTTAAGCTGATTGATGTCTTCCTTTTTATATGGAAAACATTTAATTGCTAGGCATCAGTGAGGCAAACATATATACCTGTTTTTTTCCTACCTCCTTCTCTTGATAGTATTAATGATATTTTACCTATGCATTTTAGATACCCAAACTGTTATACTAAAGAACATCAAAGAATTAAAAGGTATTTTGGTAACAAAAATACATACAAATACTAGTCATCAACAGAAACACAGCATGTCATCTGAGATTGCATCTTAAATACAGTTATTGATATCACAACAAGTATCAATCTTCTCCACATTCTTAATACTGCAGTGAACTGCAGTTTCTCCATTGCCATGGAGCTGCATTTGTCAGGCAGAGCACTGCAGAACATACCAGAGATGTGTTTTGACATGTTAGATCCTGTGCTCATACTTCTGTTTCTCTGTACATTTTCCTAGTCTAAGCATTGCCTCTCCGCAAGTTTCCATGCAACATTTCTCTATCTTCCTTTTACACCTTAAACTACTTTTTGCAATCCTGTTTTTCTCTGATGAATACCTGAGCACTTTTGTCATCACTGTTTTCTGTTTTGTGATATTCATAATTCTATATCCTCTCTTGCATTCTCCCATTTTCTTCCTTTTCTTTTGAGCTTTCCTGCTTTTCATCCATAATTCCCAATACCACCCTTCTAAATATTACCTGTCTTTTCTGGTTAAATACTACATTTCCTTGGGGGCAGCATTAGTTGCTCTAATTGTGAGGGCATCTCTCCCTCTCCTTGGAGAATTAAGAACCTGTCTGCTTCTTGACAGAGGAATCTATATTTCCATCAGACTATTTCTCCCTCAACAGGAGGAGTCCTTGCCTTTTTCCACTCTCCTCCTTCCATGGTTTCTTACTTTTAAATTGTGGCAAAGAGAGACAAAGAACCTATCTGGCAGAGACCTACAGAAATGTTCTGCAGTCAGCCTGCTAGAAAGACACTCACTTAAGGTAATCAGACCCCTGGTCAACCACACTGCTCCAAAACCTCTGCAGTCTTCAAAATATTTACCATTCCCATAGCCTGATTGCACAAAACACTTCAATTATACTCTAATTTTGACATAAACTACCATCATTTCACCTGATTTATTACAGTAAAAAGAATATTCACTACATGTCTTAAAACTGACAAGGTTTAACATCAGATTTTAAATGCTTATTAATAAATTAAATACCTGTCATATTGTATAAGCGATTCCACAACTGCTCTTTTTCCATGTAGGTCTCAAAAGCAATGCCAAGAGATTTGGGTGCTAAAGTGCAGTAAGACAATACTGTGAAGATTGTTTCAATCAGAGTAGGCTCTTTGTTATTTATCTGTTCTAAGAGAGAACTCTGTTCATCACGATTCAATGCTTCATTTCCTTCGAAATAAACAAAAACATGGTTACAATAACTTCCAAGTAATTCAAGTTCTCAGTAATAGATAGTATTAATCAAAACAAACTGCAACCTGTATCTGAATAATATTTGAAACAGTAATAATGGAGATACTGAAATCTGATCTTCCTCTGCCAGTTGACCATATTCCTGAATGATATGTAGCCATTAAAGGAAAGACTTAAGCATGTTTTCAAACTATGGAATACGCTTATTAAATTAAAAAAGCACTCAGTATATAATTTGATTATTTACTAGATATTAATCAGAATTAAATTGTACTACTCCTATTGAAAGACAGTCAAAAAACTATTACTGCTTAACTCCTTTTACTGATATATTAGTCACATGAAGTAATATAACTCTATTTAGTTATATAAAATTTTAAAAGTAGCAGCTGCATACTCCCTGAAATGTGTTGGCTTTGTTTTTCAGTACAAGATGAAACTCAGAACAAAACAGTTCCACAAAACAAAATCTCAGTCCTGCTAAGATACAGATACCTATGTTTTTAAAGAAAATGAGTGATTTTCATAGAGTGGTAACAGCTTACAAAACATGTATTTCCATATGTTTCTGATAATCATCATAAAGCAATCTCCCAGCTGAAAAATAATGATGCATTTAAAGCTCATGGAATCAATGCAAATCAATGGCTTTGTCTTGTGTTAAAGCCCTCAGTTTCCCACATACTTGTGGAATTTGCTTCTGATGTTAACAATCGTATCATGTGACTAGAGACAGAACCTGTTAAACATTTTTAATTTAAATTTCTAGTTTGAAAAACTCAAGGTTTCTGTAAACATTATACTTTTAATTGTCATTGCTTTCTGTCTTGTTTGGCTTCCCTTACCTTTAGCAACCTGTGGAGGACAAAGGCAGAAGAGACTAAATTTTTAAGCTGTGTTCTTCTAGTGGTTCAAATAGCCTACAAAATCTACCACAGTGGAAAACCATTGCTTTCCACCCATTTCTGAATGACCTGAGAACATCATAAAATTAAAAATCCATTTTACTCTCCTCTGAATTCCTACAACCTAATTTCACACATTATTGTAAACCATTTAGTCTGGGTAGCGCACAACCTTAATAGAACAGCCCTGAGGATGCAGAAAGCTGAAAAACAGGATCAGTGATTTCATAACCAAGAAGCTGTGGGGTTTTTTTTTCCTAAGGCAGCAGACAGATCAGCAATAAGAATTTTTTTTAGTCAGCTTTTTTTTCCCTATGAGTTGAGTGAGCTTGTATATATTGCTTCCAATGCCAGATGCTTCTGAGTGAAGAATCAAATGGACTCGACTAATTCACTCACACCAGTGATATGCCGTCTAATATGAATATGACAAAGAAATAAGCAATGAAGCAGAAAGAGCAGTTCAAAAAAGAAAACACAGAGGTATTAAAATTGTGAGCTCAAAATTTGAATTGAACTACAATTATATTACTATAAGTATTCATTTTTAAAATTGACTTAACCAAATTCTAGGGATGAGGGTTTGCTGAGATTTTAAATATTATATAAACTGTCTTTGCAGTTTGCTTTGTTTAAATTTGTTAATGACTTAAAATTAATCCTAGATTTGTTTTAGGACCATGCCACATGGAAACTTTGAGTCACAACTTACTAATAACTTTTCTAATCAACTTGGTGTTACCAATAGATTTAGACAGAGGGA